AGGGGCGGGGCCCGATAGGGGAAACTTAGTAAATTCTTAGTAAATTCTTTAAAATCCTAATCCTCCCGAAGGTATTAAGGGGAAGGATTCATATATGATCTGTAACATGCTTAGGCACAGGGGAACCAATTTTGTATAACACGTGCGTGTTGGTCCTCAGGGGCCAGAGGGGCGGGGCCCAATAGGGGAAACTTAATTAATTAATTCTTAGCAAATTCCTTAAAATCCTACTACATCTGAAGGAATTGAAGGAAAACGTAAATATTCTCTCTGCAACATGCTAGACAAGGGGATTGAAATGGGTATAAACTGTGGGTAATAGCCCTCAGGGGCCAGAAGGAAGGGTCCAAAAAGGAAACTTACAAAATTATTTGAAATGTTTTGAAAATCTTTGTAGGATATAGTTCATATTTGGTCTCAAGCATGCAGGATGAAGGTTAAGGCTGAAGTATGATGCTATGAAAGTGATACTTTCACTTTTAAATTCTCTTTGATATGGTAGTCAGATGACCGTTAAGGCCCATGGGCCTCTTGTTCTCATTGTAATCACGTGGCTATTGTTATGCATTTTTTTTTGTTATTAAGAAGCTTTTAATACATGTGATATGGTCAAACTTCCTTACCAATACCATTGTCATTTTTTGCCAATAAAATAGTTTAAACTAACAACTTCAGTTGATTTTACCATCATTAAGTGTTATTAAAAAGTCTCTGAAACCTATCGATCACTTTTCTCCACCTTCTCGTGTAGGGATGGGTGACCGTAAATTACATATCATACACATGAATATTAGACACCATTACTGTTTTTTAAAGTATTATTTATTCAGGATAAACCAAGCATATACCCCAGCTGTTCTTGTGGACATATGTGTGAAAATCTCAGCCTATCATTTTTTTCTTGATGTGTCATCAGTATAATATACAAAGGCAAGTTCTTTTCTAATATTTAGGTGATTTAAATTTACCCATTCCTTGTGATTTAGATTTTATATTGTTTGGTTATAGAATGATCTCACTTTTAAGTCTAGTAAAAGGTTCAATTGACGTCATCCGTTAAATAACAACAACCTTTCTCTATCTCTCTCTCCCTCTCTCATTCTCGCTCTCTCTCTCTCTCTTTCTCCTCCCAAAAAAACAATCCTGTTGCAATTTTTTGCCATAAAATATTTTGAATTGAAATAATAAAACATCAATGACCGTCCAGCTTCAGAATTCAGAACAAACATTGATATCAAGCTTAATTCCGTACGACTTCTAGGAGCAACTTGGCCCGGCTTATCAATTTTTCACGCCAGTAAAACACTGACGGAACTAAATTGCTTTCTCGAATCTAATTAAAATGGATTGTTTCCTATACTGAAACAATAAACAATGATTCAATTACAGTCATACTTAACGAAAGTGCTTTTGAAAACGTTTATTCATTTTTTTCCACACAAAAAGTCAAATGAATTGGTTCATTTTGAAATAAAATTTTAAGTCAATTTGTTGCACTCCTGTCATGTATACCTATTGTAACATCACACCACAACTTTCAATTACATATAATACATTGTAGTTCAAACTTTTAATCAATATAATGGTATATAGAATATGTTTTCCACAACAAGATAACAAGAATAATGAGGAAATTTGTAAATAGATAAAACAAGCTACCATATTAAAACACATTTACAGTGTTCGAATGTAGAGTAAAACCATATCATATACAGTACATTTGTACACATGATTATAAAAATAAAAGTAGTATACGTGTAATTTTTACATTTGAAATTAATTGTCCCGTAAAATTAGTAGTTTTTTTGTCATGAAATGGATAAAGCTACAAGCAAATTTTCATGCTCATATATTAAACATAGTAGATTTTATAAAGAATTTCTTTTTTCCGTTGATATTGTATGTCAAATAATGAATACCCAGTGAAATGACGAGCGATTATAATGATGTGTAGAGGTTGAATTAGTAACTCAATCACTGGAGAAAATATGTCAATGGCACAAAATTATGCACGAGTGCCCCACTCAAGTCGCTATAGCAATGACAAATATTTCATGCAAATATCAACGGTGACCTTGCTGTTGATCTTGGCACTATAAAACACGAACTTGTTCCAAGTATTCCAATACTTAAGCAAAATATGATCAAAATTCATTGGGAAACATGGAAAAGTGTTTTTACAATGAGGAATAACTCTGTAAAAAGGGACGCAATAGTTACAGTTCGATGGAATTACCATGAACGGTTTGAGAGTTATACTCTATTCAAAGGGAAAAATGAATGTGTATACAAAGGGAAATAACTCTGTAAAAAGGGTCGCGAGAGTTACGGTTCTTCCGCACTGCACTCCGCCTTGATGTATTTACCAAGTATATACAGTTTGATGAAATTATCATGAACGGTGTGGGAGTTATGCTGCGGACAAATATATACGTACTTTCGTACGTTCTTAAAGGCAGATCCCTAAATCCCATCCCCGACTTCGCCGCGAGGGGATAATAACTGTACGTTAAAGCACCCAAGATTGAATGCTGTGGAAGCGTTCGACATATTAAGTTTGCACTTGAAGTAACATTTGGTGTGCTCAATAAATAAGAAGCGCGTTAGAAATTACTTAACTATCTATCGCTCGAAATAGTATATGTAGTTTAACTGGTCATTTCACATCCTCTCTAATTACTTTACTGACATTGATTATGATTCAGACGCTTTTTCAAGTCAATATTTATATTTCAAAATGAACGACCTAAATAGCGGAGAAATTGAAGACATTTTATCGTACAAAATCATTTTTTCCTCTATGTTCCGGACAATGAAAATATACCGTTTTACAACCCCTAACAACCAATCTAGATTTGTTGGATCTATTGATCCAATGTAGCTGTCCGCTAGTTTGCAGGTATTTGCTTTAATTTTTTTAAGATCAAAGTAATGATCTTTGTGATTTAAACACATATATTTAAAAAATGTCGAGTAAAAATAAAATTGCTTTTGAACGAAAAACACTATTAAAATGTACCGAAATTAATAGCTAAGATTCATTAGCAACATCAGCAAGAATGATAAATGCTTAAATAAACTAAGTCTTATTTCAATTTTTTTTCTTTAGATTTACATGTAGCTTGTCTTTTCCTTACCCCGGTAAAGAAAGATTTATCTTCCCCTACCAAACATGTAGACAGCCCTGTGAAGTATGGGAGAGATATATGTTCACAAGGCACACCTAGTCTAGTAATTGTATTAAATATGTGAATTTTTTTATGTTGAAGTACACTGTACCTTTTTATGTCTCTTACAAATGTATTTGTGTAATAAAACGCAGTAAGCGACCATTTTCCCTACTGAGACTGAAATTTAAGAGGATTAAGGCAAGCACGAAAGTTTGGTTTGGGTTTTATACGCCCGTCGAATGGCAGGACGTATTATGGTATGGCATTGTCCGTCCGTCCATACGCCCGTCCGTCGTAAACTTTTCTTGTCCGGACCATAACTTTATGCTTCATTGGTATAGTGTCACCATACTTTGTACACTTGTATATTTCAAGATGGCGGAGTGTCGAGTATAAAAAATGCCCGCCTCGCAATTATAGTTACAGAGTTATGCCCCGTTCTTTTATTTTTTCATAAGTTTTCCTTGTTAATTCAGGGAGTTATGGGCCCTTGAAAAGTTTTTAATTATGTTTCTCCACTTAAACGGAGTAACTATTTAATGGCTTAATTTAAAACTTGGTGGCAAGGTATGAAAGCTTACACATGTTCGATTAAAAAAATATTTGACAATAATTCATTAGGTTCGGCCCTTTGAAGAATTTACTTCGTTTTTTCTAAAAATTTCTGGGACGAGCGTACATATTCTGCATTGCGGCACTGTTGTTTGTAATTAACGTCCAATCAACAGCTAAGGCAATTTAAGGACGGCCTCCCGGTGTAATGTGGGTGCTTGTTTGTGATGCTTGTCTGTGTATTTGGGAGGCTGCAGTATATTAGTGTTCGGGAAAGGAAAATGAAAAAAAAAAAAAAGAGAGAGACAGGATAGAAAGAAAAATCCGGGGACGCGACCAGAGCACTCCCTTTTTTAAGGAAGATCTAGAAGAGCACCTCTGTACACTGAATCTCGGTTAAGCACCTCATTTGAAGGACGGTGCTGCTCTTTGTCTGTTTCCTCACCTTCGGCTATCTAGCATGGGTGACCAGGAACAACAGGAAGTGCGGGTGCCCTATAATGATCAATGTGTCCGTCTGTCCGTTAGCACTTTTATTTTCATGCCATTACCCAATATCCCTTGGGCCAATCAATCTCAAACTTTATACAAGGCTTCAAGGCATTATAAGTGTTCCTTAGCAGAGCTTTTCAGTCTCCAAGTTCAAGTTCAATGATACTTCGGATAGAACATCAGTTTCCATGCAATAACACGACTTTCCTTGGGCCAGTCAACCCCAAACTTTATATCATGCTTCCTCATAACAAATGCTTGTTTGATAGTGCTTCTCAGCCTTAATGGTCAAGGTTCAAGATCACTCTTGCTATACATAGGAAATATTTTCCCGTGAAATAACTGGTTACCTGCTGAATTGCGATTAAAAGTCAAAATTCGTATAGTGGTTTCCGATCATTTTTATAACGGGGGAGCTGCATTTGGCCACAATGCGTGACCTTTCCTGACCTGTCAGTGTTTTAGAGAATTCTTTTGAATTTTATCGGGTTCAGATTTTACTTTGTCATGCGATGCTTGATTTTCTGTATGGAAGTCGTGCAATTAAGTCAATATCAACCATCAAGACAGATTAAAAACAATGTATGCCGTTTGTCTTAACTATAAATGCATCCTAAATATTTTGTCAAAAATAAGAGACATCATGTCATCTTCTTTTAAAGACAACATATTTTTGCACACTGAAGATACGATAGTTTAAAGTTATTGATATGGCGAATACTTGTGTTAATTAGGTGAATGATGAGACGACAAAGAAAGATAACGCAAGATCCTCCTCACCACACTATGGTAACGAGATCAAAATCATGGAAGACAAAACAGGAAAAGAAAAACAAACAACCAAGTGACGAAACGGATAAAAAACATCAGCACAATGACGAAACAGACAACATTTCGATTGAACATATCAATGCAGAGATACATGTACCCCAAAAAGAGGAGGAAATAGATATAAGCGATTACAACACCGGAAAAGATGATATACAATACGAGGAGCAAGACAATTCAGTCGCATCATTCCATACTAAATTAGATAGGAAGAAAGAGCAAGACGAGCAGCCCGATGACAAAGAAACGAATTTGTCAAGTGCCACAATAAAACACAAAATTGGAACAACAAAAATAAAGCAAGATCATGAAGATAGTTCAGAAAAGTTATTCCATCGAACAATTCATAACGCAGACCGTATAGAGAAAGAGCAGTCATATGACAGAAAAACGGACCTGTCAAACATAGCCACTACAAAACAAAGGGAGAAAAAGAAAAAAAAGCATGAGCGGGAAGATGGTTCGGTCAAATTGTATGATACCATACTTGATGATTTGAACAAAATGAAATATGAGCGACAAGAGATGGATGATGGAAAGACAAATATCAGTGATCCAACAAAACACAAGAGGAAGAAAAATATAAGAAATCTTGAACCGCAACATGATTCAATCAAGTCCTTAGAAACAACGATTGACGATTCAGAGCGTATAAATAATGAGCAGGACAATGATGGGAAGACAGACAGGCACGGTGGTCCAAAAACCCAAAAGAAGAAAAAGAAAAGGAAGCTTGAGAAGAATGAGAGTGCAGATCCAATTAGAAATTTATCAGACTTAGAGACAGACTTATTGCACGTTGGCTCCAAAACCCAAAAGAAGAAAAAGAAAAGGAAGCTTGAGAAGAATGAGAGTGCAGATCCAATTAGAAATTTATCAGACTTAGAGACAGACTTATTGCACGTTGGCTCCAAAACCCAAAAGAAGAAAAAGAAAAGGAAGCTTGAGAAGAATGAGAGTGCAGATCCAATTAGAAATTTATCAGACTTAGAGACAGACTTATTGCACGTTGGCTCCAAAACCCAAAAGAAGAAAAAGAAAAGGAAGCTTGAGAAGAATGAGAGTGCAGATCCAATTAGAAATTTATCAGACTTAGAGACAGACTTATTGCACGTCGGCTCAAACACCCAAAAGAAGAAAAAGAAAAATAAGCTTGAGAAGCAGGAAATTGCAAACCGAAATGGAAATTCATCAGACAGTGACTCGACAAAATAGGAAAAAATGAAAAGAAAGCATGAAAGACAAGATCGAGAGAGAAGAGAGCATTGAGAGAAAATGTGTTTAACAATTTTTCAGTTTGCAACAACAATGCAACAAATAGCCTGGAAGGAAGTTCGGATGAGATTTTGAAAACCAAAGAGACCTACCTGGATATGAATAATGCCCAAAACCATTTTACAATTCAGATTGCAAAAGATACATGGAAAACAATCGAACCCGTCGATAAAAAATATTCAAATCATCGAGTTTTGAGAAGAATGAGTGGAAACTGGACAGACGTTTTTCAAGCGGAAACCAACAAAATGCATCACGGCTGTGTATTACGCTTCAAAACTCATCATGTTAAACCGAAAATAAGTAGAAAAAAATGTGGCAAATTCTTCCTAGCTACAGCATTCTGCAAAGGTCCTGCATGCCAAGGAAAGTTTGTCTTCGATATTGAGAACGAGCCAACTATGGAGTCAAACATAATCATCAACTGTAGCGTAAGTGGGATCATTAATCATGCAGAGGAAGAAATCAACAGAAGAAATATCATTGGAGAGCGGAGAGAAAAGATTGGGCAGGAAATTAAGCAATCCTCTGCATCCAAAGTATACTACGAGAATGTTCTAACCGCTGATACATCGCAGTTGAGTGCTGGAAATTATACTAGCGTTCCAAATCAAGCCGTTCTTAGAAAAATTGTTTCAGAAATTATAAAAAAAGAACAACTCCATTCTAACATTGTTGCTGAGCTACAAGTTCTGAAAGAAGGCTTTGAAAAAACTGAAGATCCTTACATCCGAGATATTGGATACGATCCATTCTATGTTATCATGTACTCCAACAGACAATTGCAACTTCTCAAGAAACTTTCTGACGAAGACGAACTGTTCGTTTATTTAGATTCAACTGGGTCAGTTATTTCAAACATTGCTGGACAAAAACGCCCATTCCTTTACTCTCTTGTCGTGAAACCAAACTCGGAACTTCCCCCAGTTTCACTGGCAGACATGATTTCAACACAACATACCATTCCACGTATCGAACTGTTTTTGTCTTCAATAAAGCGTTCAGCGGGGAAGGAGCTGAAACTCAAGAAAGTTGAAACGGATTATAGCATGGCCTTGATCCAATCATGTCTTCACACATTCAATAATTCAAATGTGAAAACGTATCTCCAGACGTGTTTTAGTATTCTTAAAACAAAAAATGTTCCCTTGGACTTCACTGTACATCATATTTGTGCAGCTCATTTGATCAAGGATTTCAGCAGACATCTAAGTAAGTATAAACTGAAGACAAGAAGTGATTTGCGGAGATTTGCATTAGACTGCTTTGCCGCTCTTCAGAATACAACTACACTGCAGGAAACGAAAGAAGTATTTAGCCTTACATGCACTGTTCTTCTTAATTCTAAGATGTCAGCAAATGTCACCACAGCCATCAAGAAATTGAACAACCAGTTCCATAGTACGGAAGTTCATGAAGATCAAGATTCAAATGATTTTGAAGCAGAAATAAACACAGAGAAAATCATGGAAAATTTAACAATTAAAGCTTCGTCACCTTTTACAGAAATCTTTCAAAATATTTCAACAGATATAGAGAAGGTAGCAGAGAATGAGGAGGTAGACGACAACTCGCTGTTTTGTCCAGAAGCAGTAGAATGCCTTCTGGACAAATTCATGCCTATTGTCCCTTTGTGGAGTGGGGTTATGCTAAACACTTGTTTAGTCAACACTGAAAATGACAGCAGAGGGCACATCATTTCTCGAGATACAAATTCTCCAGTGGAAAACTGGTTCAAGTTTGTAAAGTCAGATTTGAAAATACCGAAATATGCCCGTCCCTACATTTTCGCTACAAACCTTCGGCAAGCCATCGAATCAAGACTAAAGGAACAGTTGTACCCCGGATGCCGCAAAAGAAAGAAGAAGACCAAACGGGCAAAACAAAATACAGACTGCGATATGGTTACGGTGGTTATGGAAACCAAAAAGGAAGAAAAATGTGCACCACACTGCATCAAAACTTAAGACCGTTTCGAAAAATACAGGACCAACCGAAATCCCTATCGTAATGAAATGGGGCGGGAAAATAGGAAGGACGGTACTTGCTAACACTTGCACAATTGACAACGTGTTGACAATACTGCATATCAGATACGTATCTGATGAAACCTTCAAAACTTTCATCGACAACGACGAAAGTCCTGTTTCCCAAACCTTACTTACAGTCTTCAAACTCATGTCGGAGGAACAGTTCTCTTCCGCAAAAGTAATCTGGACGGACTTCACGGGAAAACCACTGAGATCGTCGATGAATCTTTATGGCGACGAATACGATTACATAGTGGCATTCTTGGATAGACAATGGTCATCTTACACTGTATCAACATGCGATAATCCCTTCTGTGAAGAACCTAGACATGAATCTCAGGAACATAGAGGAGTCGTTGTGAGGTAAGTACTTAAGGCATAGGATCGATGATTTTCTATATAGATTATAATCAGTCGTTGTCAATGATATTTTTATCTTATTCATCAGTGTATTTCATTTTTGATTAAACGTTGCATTAAATGTTATACAATAATAATAATAAATAGAATTGCAATTGCGAGCAATAGCAAAAGTCATCGCGACCCCCCTCTCCACCCCCACCCCCATTACCCACCGCACTTTCCATTTTCCAAACTTGTACCATGATGTGCGACATCCTTCTAAACCCCTACTTACCAATTTTCTTGAAAACCCAACAATATCCAATATCTAAATTTCAACAAATCATAGGCGTACATTGTATTGTAAAGTATATTACGATTTTGACGAAATTTGTTTATGGGCACATGGGATACCGATCATTTTGTCGTCCCATATTGAGATTTATAGAAAATGGCCGCCACTTTGCTTGTCTCTGATTGGTCGAAATTTATATATAGTAAAATTTTCCTGATTTTGTTTCTGTGTTGTCAGCATTTGGTACCAATTAGTACCATTTAAATTCAAACCGGAATGGATTTATTTAGTTTGATGTATGATTGGGTGAGGTTCATTAAAATTTTGATTTGACCCCTGGGAAATGAGGGAAGGGGCCTCAAAGGAGAAGTTAGCTATTTTTTTCCCAAAAGTTTTCTCCTTCATACCTATATGGACTTCAGTCAGTTTTGACCAGCTTCAAGAGTTAGGAATGATAATTATTTCCCAAATTAGTAATTTATGGAATGAGGGTTGGGGCCCATAAATGGAAAGTTAGGTTAAACTTTGTTTCAGAAAGCTACTTGTCCATCATGTCAAAGTTGATTTTTTCAACCAGCTTTTGTCTCAGTAGTCCAACATTTCTTCAGTTCAGAATTTTTTATTTTATCCCTTGGGCTGCTCAGCAAAGGTGTCAGATGGGGAGGTTAGCTGATATTTCTTTTATTTTTCTCTTTCCATTTGATATTATGTAAGCTCCCAACATTCTTAATGGAGTTTTTTTTTGTCAAATGACCGTTAATGCCGATGGACCTATTGTCACATATCGGAACATTAAGGACAGAAATGTAAATAATACCATGTGTTCAATGCCTTATTATTTGTCGTCTTTTAAGTATTGCCGAACCATTCCCTGATATCCAAGACCTTGTGAACAGATGGCTAGACCAAAATAGCGCATGCGCAGATGATCATCCAAACCTTGATGAAACGGCGTTTGGGTAGGTAACATTTTAATAATTGTTTTATTTGTGGAATTAATACTGATTTTTTTCAGAAAATGACAACTGGAAAATTTATTTCTTATCAGACCAAAAAATGGAAAAAAAAAAAAAATTAATAAATAAATAAAACGTCCGTTAATGGAATGAAAATTTATAACGGACTGCAAATTTCCCTTGCAGATATAACGGTTGGTCATAAATTTGTAAACTATTCTATTTTAATTACAGAAATGAACGAATGTGTTCTGGACGTCGCCATGTGAAACGGAAAGTGCTTTCATTCCCCCCGATATTTGTGGTCCGTGTGTATGAACACTGTCTTTACGACCGATTAAGCTTCCAACAAATACTTAATAAGACGGAAGTCGTTGTACAGAAGCATCTGTATCGTCTGGCTGGACTGACTTTGCACAAGGGAGATCATTACACTGCTATCGTTGCAACTATCCACGGGCCAATGTGGTACGATGGTTTGATTGGAACACTCAAGGCAATACCGCGGGATGTTGACACGTGGTTTCCATCCCATGTACTTTTCGTAAGAGGAAATTAGGACAAAGACATCATAAATAATTAGGTGACCCAAAACCAGTTTACCACAATATGACTTTACTTTATGTAGGTCGTTCAAATACCATTTACAACTATGGTTCTAACCTCTGGGCTACTGGCTGCCCATCTTTTTGATATCGTAAAGGTCCATTTTTGATAACGTTACACTGATTGTGATATGTAACAAAATGATAAGTAAGGATCAGCTTGGAGGCGACAGTATAGAAACTGCTGCACATTTATGAATAGTCAATCGAAAAGTCAGTTGTTTACCTGAGAAAATGTTAAAGTGCTAAAGACT